GGCGCNCATATACTTACTACTCTCTCTCTCTCTCTCTCTCTCTCTCTCGTTTAATTTAATCTACAAAAAATTGGCCCGATCCAATTTATAATTATTGCCCTTTCGCGTTTCACCCGTGTTGTTTCGCAACAATTATGCCTTCCATTCTTCTCTGACCAACCGGTTTATATACGGAATTTACGAAATTTCAAATCAAATTCCGTCTCGGGAAAAATCCGTATAATTTCGGCATTGTCGATCCAATCGATCCAAAGATAGATTCGCTCTTCTTTCCCCCTCCCCTCTCCTCTAATACGGATACAAAATACATAATATAATCGTCAGCCGAAAATTCAACGTCGATTCAACGTCCCGTGATACCCCTGTCATTCCCGCCATTCATCCCCATCTTCACAGTCACACCCAACCTTTTCACGCCCCTCCGGCTCCAGCATATTTTTCACACCGACGCTCGTGTCACGACATATTTTCCTCTCCCCTCTCTCCTCCCCTTTGCGTTACGAGCAACATTTATTCGATACGACTATATTTATAGAGAAAGAAGGGGAGGAGGGGGGGAGGGAAGAAAAAAACTAGCAATACAGCAAATTCGCTCGACAAATTTCGTCGCGTTACAGTAATATCGTTCGTACGTAGGGAACCTCGACCTCGAAACGACCAGAACATCCGCCCACGGTCATTTTTCCTTTTCCTTTTCTCCGTTTTAAACGGAGCGCGACGCTTCTTCCATCGACACTTTCGCTCGGCCAAAAGCGAATTATTTTCCACGCGTAATTATTCGTTAATCATTCGGCCGAGTGACTTTCAACGATGATAACCATCCGGTAATTCCGTCGCGTCGTTCGATTAAACAATGAGGCTACGCGAGCGGGGAGGAGATTATACGAGCATCGGCGACTAATTCGCGCGCGATCGATACCGATAATCCGCGGAATTCGAATTTTATATCGAGGACCCCTTCGACTTCGATCCCTCGACGTATCTGCGACGACAACGACAACGTGCAAACTATGTAAACGCTCGCTACCTTCGAATTGGAAACTCTCGAGCCCGCCTCGAGCGAATTAATTTATCGCGGTTGCCCTGTTCAAAGGAATTAGCAGGTGACGGTTATTATTTGGCGTCGTTTCATCGGGCGGAAAATAGATAGCCGATTATACGTGTATAATAAATATAGGGCGGTGATCAACGGTAATTAATACAAGTCGTCGATCCCGCCGAGAATTTATCAAATTAAACCAGGTTTGCCCTTTCCTTTGTGACGATCGCCGGCAAACATGATGGGGGTTTTGATTGTTTTAATTTAAATGACACAGGGAGGAACGCGGCATCATTAATTATTCCCCTTTTCCCGGGGAAAAACGCTGATGAAACGGAGCCACCAAGTTTCATCTGACTCTGGAATCGAGCGTTAACAATATATCGGCAGAGATATATAGACAGGTATCTTGTCCCTCGTCGTAGATCGTAGATGATAATTTCTCACTCGTTAGATGAAGTTGGTGGATCACTCGATGGATGACGACAACTTTCTTCCATCGAGAAATCGAGCGAAATATGTTTCGTCCTCGATCCTCCTCCGAAAAGCGCAGAGGACAGTTTAAATTTGCTCTAAAGTTTGCCACAAGCAAGTCTCGATCGCGCGACTCTTTCTTTTGAAAGCGGCTTCGACCATCCGTTCTTTCTCTCATCAACCGAACTACAAACACTTCCTGTTGCACGCGTCCTATTCGACCAAATCTCTCTACTTTCCACTCTACTCTCCGCTCATATTCTCTTCGAACGATCATCGTTCATCATTTATTCAACTGTTAATCTATTCCAATCTTTCGCCCCATTGTTCGCCCATTTTCCCAAACAGCCGTTTCCCTCGTTACAAACGATTGTCCGGGTTAACAGGGTTTGCTCGCGAATGGAAAATAAACGAAATAATTCCGCGTCCGAAAATATAGAGCGAAACTGCTGTAACGAAATACGCGAAATTTCGTTTGATCAACGCTCTCCATTAACAGAGATTCGCGAGAAATCGCATCAAATAGTCGCGGCGAGGGACTGGATTCGAACGTTCGCCTCGTAATCGTCGGGTGAGAATGCAGAACGCGCGTAAGAATTTCACGTACGAACGCCACACGTTTCACGGACGAGCGAGGTGAGATTAAACGGTGGAGGAGGGGAGGGGATTCAATTTAATAAAAGGAAGGGGGAGGGTTGTCTCCAACGTTGCACATGCACGTTCTCTCGAATAATTCGACGTACCGCGAGTGGTGGTGGAGAAAGATTGGAGAGACGATCGAGCAAGGAATCGAAGATCCAAGCTGTGCGTTGCGGTTCCGTCTCCATGGATGGGAGAGAAGAGGAAACGAATGGGAATCGGTCGGATGCAACTCGATGTAACTCGTTCGATTGTTTAGAATAACAGGATCCTCCCTCCCTCCACCCCTGTGCTTCATTAATTTAGACGATACGGATTAATCGAATGTTAATTAACAACGAATCAACTATCACTTTGTGGATAAATTTAATTCGAGATGCGAAATGTAAGGGAATTACCGATAATTGATCGTCAAATTATATACACGCGAATATCCATTAACTATTTCCAATCAATTTGTAATAAACATACCATTCAACATTTTCAAACAACGTTTCTTTTATTCTCCATTTCCACTCTCTCTCTCTCTCGATCTTTTCTTTTCTTCGAGACGAGTATCGAAAAGTTAATTTAATCTAAATTAATATTTCGCGCGTGGAACGATAAACGTGGAACTAAACGGAGCGAATACGCGAGAATCGCGTGGAAAAGATGGAGGTCGGCCAGTGTCTCGTGACAAATTGGTACGTCCGACCTGCCACCTCCTGGCGAATCCTCGTAAATCCAGAGGCTCGCGTAAAACGCGCCAACGCTCTGGATTACTGTAACCGCAATAATTAGAAGCGAAATCCGCGGCAATTGTCTCGCGCCATTCACAGCGCGAGCGGAATTGGGGCGGAAAATCAAGCGAAACGAGTCCACTTTTCCGGAGATAGGGACTTTTGGGCGCCGCGTAATGGAGAAATTGTTGCCCCTCCTCGCTTCCGGCTACGGGGAATTCCGTTTCTGTCCAAGGAATAATCGCCGCGACCGCGTGATAAAAGACTGGCGTAATGGCGGAGTTGAGATGAAACGAGAGTCGAGAGTCGATGAATAAATATACATATATGTGTGTGTGTATCTCGATGAATTTTTGTTGAAAAAAAAGAGAGAGAGAGAGAGAGAGAGAGAAATCGGGAATTAAATTTAGAAAAAACGCTGGTTTCATCGATATTTTTATGCCACGCGTACGCACACACGCGGTGGAAATATTCGTTAATAGATGTAAAAAGAAAAGAAGAGAGAGAAAAAAAAAGAAATGATCCATTGTCAAGTTTATCCGATCCGATGGTGGGAAAAAAAGAAACGGTGATGTTTAAGTGGAATATTTCATCCGATAATTTAATTTGATACGGGAAGGAGGGGGGGCGCGTTTAAAAAATTATCGCGGAGCGTGCTTGTTTTAAAAAGTTTCCGGCGGAGCGAAGGGGATATTAAAAATAATTTGCGTAATCGACTAAAGGATACGGTTGGAGAGAGCCCGTGTACCGGGATGCAGCGGAAATAAAAATTCTCTTACTTTTATCCGAACGTGGATGAATTTTCGCCCGTTTTCACGACAAATTAAAGGAACGCTTGAAAAATTTGTATCGTTTCGGCATATTT